GGCGGGCTGGGGAATTCTGGGAATTGAAGTCCACCCATCTTCAAGTTGCCAAGGTTGAGAAGCACTGTCTTCAACAATTCCCTGCTTTAAAGATGATGGTACTGCTGAATTAATTTGGCCCAGAGCTCTGGAGAACTGCTTCTCCACCATCAAAATGGATTCTGCTTCATGCTTCTTTCTTCTCCTGTTCCCACCATCAGAAAAAGAAAGAGAAGAAAGACAAGGATCGGGAAAACACCCAGGAGAAGACCGCCTTAGCCCTCCGCAAACGCCACTCTATGCCTTCTGGCCAGGTGCGTCAGCTGCACGGACCCGAAGGCAGGTAAGAGGTCCCAGGATCTTGACGAGATGCTTGGCGTACAATTAATTTAGCACTGGCCAGGTGGACTTTGGGAAACCAGCTTTGCAATCATGGCTGGCTGTGGGGAAGTGTGTCTCAAAATTCAAGACGGGGGCCATGACTACATGGTTAAAGCTGCTGTCCTAGTTTTCTTGACGTTCCCCACCCCCGGGAATACTTCTATTGGCAATAATGCTTTTTTCCTAACCTCATAACCAGCCCTATTAGGGTGATCATTCTATTTTGTACAATCTGTTGCAGAAGTCTTAGAAGTCACAGTTACCTTGCAAATTCTGAATTTTTGGAAAGAATTCAGAACAGATGCCGTGGTGCATCTAGGGGTGCCAAAGCAGCATCGGCCTGCAGCCCTTTAAAGCAGCTGCATCTTTTCCTAGGATTGCAGACAAGCTTTAGATGCACACACGTCTCCATGTTCTGAAGCACTTTTTGGGAGTCAAGCTGGAAGCCTTGCACTGCCTGAGTGTGGAATTCAACACATCTGGTTGGGGAGGGCTGAAATGGACAATTGCAAGTTTCCACAAGACTTTGGATTTTTTTGCAGCACATCGTTGCCGGTGCGATGATGCTAGCTATGAGCTCTCCCTGGAAATCATATCATTGGAGAGTTGTTTTGTCCACCTCTGCTCCAGGAAAGGCTTCCAGAACTGGGTGGCTAGCAAGGCTCTTTCCCCCACCTTGTCTCTCATGCCGTCTCCTCTCTGCTTGCATTGGCAGCCCAGGCCCCAAGCCCAGGCCAGCCTCACCAGCCGTTGCCAAACAGCACCCAGCCTCGCCAAGCCCGGGTCCCGGCTCTTCGCATCGGCCGGGCCTGGCTCGCAGTGCCCAGTCCTCGCCCAAGGGGCGGCCTCGCAGGGAGCCTGAGGGCCAACCCAAGGCCCGTGAGCGCAAGAACGAGCAGAAGGAACGTGGGGCAGCTTCCCCAGCCCCGGATGAGAGCTTGAAGACAATGGGGAGCAGTGAAGCAGCAGCAGGTGGGCCTTGGGGATGGAAGAGTTGGGCTGTAATTGGCATTAGTTAACACTGGGTGGCGGCCAGAGACCCAACAGCAAGCAAATTACTGTCCAGTGCAGTCAAGTAAACACAGGGGAACAGCAGGACATTGAAGAACGATTAACATTTCAATTTTTTAAATTTATAGTCAGAGGGGGCTAGAAGGCTAAACTAGGATACTGCAAATCCTAAAACAGGAATGATTCCAGAGGTTGTTACATTCTGCCTTTCCGCTGGTTGCTCAAGGCAGGGATGGAAACCTCCAACTTTACACGGAGAAGGAGGCAGAGATAGCGAAGGAGCGCGAAAGAGGCAGTGAATGGAATCTCAGCCCTGGGGAAAAATGGAAGTGTAAGGAAGACCCTCCAGATAATGGCCCCTTGATTTTGCAGGGTATAACAGAGGACAAGGAAACTGGCAGGATTTCAAGATTCTGTTATTCCTGCAATGATAGAGTTCTAAGAGTCCTTGCAGTGTCTGTTTCCTAACCTGGCCTGCTTTACAGGGACGACCTTATGGTACCCACCCTGCAAGGTAGGCTGAGAGATGGAGTGCATCTGTACAGCCTCCTAAACCAGCTAAGGTGACGCTCAGGTGCCTTTGCGCAACCTGTCTCGCTCGGACAGTGTTAACCTTGGCTAGGTTTATTTTGGCTTTGCCTATTATGTCAACGCACCCCCTTGGCTAGTTTAGCAACAGGTTAACTGAGCCTCAGCTTAAGAGCACTGTGTGAATGCAACCACAGTGACTATCCAAAGCCACCCAGCAAGCAGTCTCTGGGCTCCCTTTAACCATCCGAGAGCCGTCTCTACAATCAAGCCAAGCTACGTCTTCCCCTCCCTTATGAACGTGGTGCCTGGGCGGAGATGCTGGCAGGCAGGCAGGCGGGCTCTGCTTCTTGGGGGGGTGGCCTAACCATGTGCTTGACTTTCGGCAGATGCCGCTGCCCCCTCTGGCGCTACCAGCCCGATGCCCGCACCTCCTCCCCCAACGCCAGGCAAACCGATGGCCGGCACCACGGACCGAGAGGAGGCTGCGCGACTGCTGGCTGAGAAACGGCGGCAAGCGCGGGAGCAGCGGGAGCGGGAAGAGCAGGAACGGAAGGAGCGAGAGGAGCGGGAGCGGTGAGTTCTCCAATGCAGCTGAAGCAAGGTTTCTAGACCTCATGGAGGAGGACGCTGTTTTTTTCTGGAGCGTTGGGCACAATTAACCTTCAAGTGACCAGCCAGGGGTGGTGTTAGGAAAAGTAATGGGTGAGGCCTGGACAGAAAAGACGTTTGATTTCATTGCAGTTAAATTTCAGTTCAATTACAATTAGTTAAATCTTTTTAATGGGGTTCCTCCCCAGGTATTTCATAGTTCTTCCTTTCCCCCATTTAAAAATAAAAAGGTAGCCGTTTTTAGAGTGGGATTTTGGGACTCATTGAAGATCTTCTAGGGGGCCACAGATGCCTCGGGGGCCCCAGCCATTTGCTTCTACTGCCTGGCCATGCTTCTGGGGATAATAGGGGCTCTAGTCCAATGCATCTGGAAGGCAGCAGGTGGGGGAAGCTGGTAGCGCTGGAGCTGAATGAAGGCCCAGAATCCTTTGGATCCCTAGGCAGAGAATTTTGATCCTGGTTAATGGTACGCAGCCAAGTGGCACAGAGACCTGTGATCCCCTTTCCACGGGCATCGTTTTCTTACAATCAAAGGCCGTTCTATTTTCTTAAAAAAGCATTTTGCCCCTCAGGGGTTGCAAGACGCAGAGGCGGCAATGTCAGGACTTTGCTGGGGTGGGTGGGGTCAAACCTTCTGGGTCATTTGGGAGGTTTGGGAAGGCAAAGGGGCCCAGTGGGTGCCTAGCCCTTGCAAAGCCCTGGGGCACCCAAGAGAGCCTAATTTGGGGGTGCTGTTTTTCGCTTTCAGGGTAAAAGCACTCAGTTCACCCCTTCCATCTTCCCGGTCCCCAAAACACAAAAGAGACAGGCAGAAAATGCTGGCCGTTCACGGGCTGCTCAAGGGGAGCAGGTGGCTCGCAGGCAGCTGTTGGGTCGTGCTTTTTGCCCCTCTGTCCTAGAATTAAGGTTGCCCTCATTGGGCTGCAAAATCTAGGTGAACATGAGGTGGCCGGCAAGAGCTATAACTTGAGTTATCTTTTTACTACCATCTAATGCTTTTTCCTGGGTGGTTGAAGCAAAGTTATTATAATAACTGGACCTAGAAAGTTGAAACGAGAGGGTGACGTGGAGCGCGTGCAGGGTTTTATTTTCTCTTGGCATAACCAGAGCTAAGCTTCCGCAACTCAGGCAGATTGTTTCCAGAGCAAGCTAGGATGCACTTAGCAGCCGCCTTCCGTTGTGTCTTCTTCTTTGCGGCTTGAGCTGAGACACTGACTCTTGGCATCTGGCAGGCACCTCGCGGAGGAGCGGACCCAGCAAGAAGCCAGAGACCGCCTACAGCAGCAGGTTGAGCTGGCCAGGTTGGAGGAGCAAGAGGCTCAGGAACGGGCCCGGGCAGAGCAGGAGGAACAAGAGCGGCTGCAGAAGCAGGTGCGTTGTGAGCTGGGGGGCAAGGGTGGAGGTGGGAAGGGGGCCGCAGCTGCTGCAGGCTCAGTAGTGACCCTCTCTCTGGACCAGTGGTTGGCAGCTGTAGAGGACCACCGAGATGACCTTGGAGAAGTTACGTGGAGACCTTTAGCACAACGTGAACTAAGTCCAGGAAGAAAAGATGTTAGAAAGAAACTCAAAGTGATCTTGTCTTGACTCTCTTTGGTATAAGAGAGAGGGAAGGGGAAACGCTGTCATGCTTTCCAGAATCTTTTATAATAGCCTAGTCAATAAAGTCGAGTTCCAATACAGGTAGTCCTCGACTTATGACCATTAGTTTAATGACCGTTCAAAGTTAAAACGGTGCTGAAAAAAATAACTTACAACCAGTCCTCACATTTACGAGTGTCACAGCATCTCCGTGGTCATGTGATCAAAAGCCAGGCACTTGGCAACTGGCATGTATTTATGACAGTTGCAGCGTCCCAGGATCATGTGATCACCATTTGGGAGCTTCTGACAAGAAAAGTCAATGGGGGAAGCCAGATTCGTTTAACAACCATGTGGTTTGCTTAACAACCATGGCAAAAAGGTTGTAAAATTGGGCGTAACTCACTTACATGGCATGGGACCAGATTACCTAAGGGACCACCTCTTCCACATGACTTCAACCCATCCCACCCAATCACACAGAGGGGGCATGCTTCGGACCCCCTCGGTAAAAGAACTCTGATTAGCGGGGTCCAGAAGGCAGGACTTCTTGGCTGTAGCCCCCGCTCTTTGGAATATTCTGCCCCCGGAGGTGAGATTGGCCTCCTCACTCCCAGCCTTCCAGACGGCTTTGAAGACCTGGTTCTGCCACTTGGCCTGGGGTGGGGAGAGAATACATCAAGCATGGGGATGGCTAGCCCCATAGAGGTCTGCTGTCTTCAGCCATAGATCCATCATCTTGGACTTTCTCCTTTTTTGGTAATGTTTTGTATAATTTTTTTATGTTTTATGTATTTATATATATTTACTGTTTTAATGCTTTGTGTGAGCCACCCAGAGTCCCCCATTGGGGGGAAATGGGCAGAGGGAAATTAAATAAATAAATAAATAAATAAATAAATAAATAAATACCGCAACACTTAGTGACAGAAGTTCCGGTCCCAATTGTGGTCATAAGTCGAGGACTACTTGTATTTCTTATGGAGTCTCAAAGGGCTGACATCAATTTTCTTTCTAACATTTATTTATTTAAAAGATTTATGTGGCTGCCCATGTGGTGGCACAAAACTCTGGGTGGCTAACAACAATAATAAAAACATGAGCAATAAAAACAATATAAAAAAAATCAAGAAAAACCAGGCACCCATATCCATAAGTACATTCATTCCTCTCTGCAATCCCCAGTCTCCAACCCATCTTCTTCCCTGGGTTTAATTCATGTTTTGCTAAGCTTGCACACTTTGCACACCTTCTCCAAGGTCATCTCAGTGGTCCTCTATAGCCAGGCTGCCCCAAACTGCCTTTTTAAAAATTGATTAAATCTCATATCATCCCCCCATTTTGGCAGTTCTTGCATGAGACCCCATGAGATTTCAGACAAGACAGCTGAAATCCAGGGTCAGGTCAGCTTTCTCACTGAGATCAGATGAGAATTGGTGGCCTCGTTTTCACCATTTGGATTTTTAAAAGGAAGAGTTGCCACCCAGTTGTGATCAAGGGGTAGAAGCAGGAGCGGGAAGAGCCAGGTTCAAGTCCACCTACAGCCAAAGTTGCTCAGTGGATACTTTGGGGGAGGCCCTTCTCTGTGAGCCCAGCCTACCTCAGAGATTTGTTGTTGTGATTGGAGGAGAAAGAATGGGATAAACGGCCTCAATCTCATCGGGAAAAGGCAGAATATATATCTAATAACAGCAAATAAAGACTATTTGTTAGGGCCTCCACCCTCATGTGGTATCACAGCACCTGAAAAGGTTCCCAAGCTTGGCAAAATGCAGGAATGGTCAGGCTGGATTCAGCACGAGACTATCTATATATCTAGCTATCTAGCTATCTACTGTATCATCTATCATCTCTCTATCTATCTACTCTCTCTATATATATATTTAATTGATTTTCAAACAGACATACAAAAAATAAAAATGAGCAATTTACCATACACAAAGAAAAAGAGAACATTACACAATAAGTAAACATGTATTTAAAAAAAAACACCTGTAACCTATATCCCAAATTCAGTTGATTTGGTGGCATCTTTTCCCACAAACATCTTTTTTCAGAAGGCTTTTGGGAGCTGCCTTCTTGTTAGCCAGAAAAGGTACTACCGGATTCCTTTAGATTTTTGGCTACCATAGACTAACATGGCTGTCCTGCAAATGTGTAGCAGTAACAAGCTGTAGGAACCAGCTAGAGAGATTCAGGTTGTCCTCATTTAGTGACCACAGTTGGGATCAGCAACTTGGTCGTTAAGCAAAGCAGTTGTTAAGTGAAACTGTGATGGTGCTTACGATCTTACTTCAGCTTTCATTTGTTTAAAGAGCTGCGAAGGTCATAAATGAGGGTTGGTCACAAAGTTACTTTTTCATCACTGTCATAACTGCAGACAGTTGCTAAACGAGGCAGTCGCTAAACAAGGACTACCTGTACAGCTGAGAAGTGCTGATATTTTGCTTATACAAAAAGAACTTCCTACGCCTTTTCAGGAATGGATCCGTGAATTTCCCAAACAGGCTGGCAAGAGTAGCTGCCTTTTCTGTCTCATCCCTGTGGGGTCTGACCTGGAAAGTCCCACCTTCCTCGCTTGCTCTCCTGCTCCTTCTGCAGCAGCTGGAGGTGTGTGGGGGGGTTCCTTTGCACAGTGGGTGATCACCTCTCCTCTTTTTGCTTACAGAAGGAGGAAGCTGAGGCTCGGGCCCGGGAGGAGGCTGAGCGTCAGCGGGTAGAACGGGAAAAACATTTCCAGAGGGAAGAACAAGAGCGGCTGGAGCGGAAGAAGGTCAGTGCGTCCTGCGGCTGGAGGGACAGTGCAGCACGATGGCTGCATGGCTGAGTAGGAGGCAGAGGCATCTGCCAGATGGGGAGGGGGTGTAATGGTATGTGGGAAAGTCCTTGGGAGATGGGGGGAAGAGATGCTGCCTAGGGAACAGTCAGATAAGAGATAGCATAGCCCAAAACTGCATAATGGGTAGGGCAAAAGGCTCAGAAGAGACTGTCCCTAGTTTCTCGGGCTGTAAAGGAGAGAACAGGAGGTTTGTACTTGCAGACTTGCAAGACTGATGCCAGCCTCACCAGGTCGACCAGACAGGAAACACAACCAGATGAGCTAATTCCACTTTATTGTAAAGCCACCTTGACAGAATCCGTCAACGGGTGCTAACTTATTTACCTCAGGATACCAAAGAGTCTTCTTCGGTGATTTGTTTTTGAAGACCAACTGCAGCCGTACCTGAAACAGGCTCTGTGTCTCCCCACTGACGTTTCTCCCTGACGTATCGGGAGAGAATAAAAGCATGACAAATCTTCAAGGAACGTCTTCATTGCATCTGGGGGCTTCATTTTGCTCCAAGTCATTTCTTTTTATCCACCAGCACAGCCTTGTACCTTTCAACCACCCGTCGCATAAGCGAGGGGCCTTCGTGAAACTCCAGTTCAACGCAATCCCTGTTCTGACACCAAAATCATATTACCTAGCTATTAATAACTAATTGTGTTTCAGGTGTATAGGTTTTTCAGCGGCTGTGCTTTTCCCCAAAGTCTTTTGCCTTGATATCAGTTAGAACCCAGAATCCTCTGCCTCTTAATGTTTAAGTTCATTGTGTAGGCTTAGTGTTTCTCAACCTTGGCAACTTGAAAGTGTGTGGACTTCAACTCCCAGAATTCCCCAGCCAGCCATGCTGGCTGGGGAATTCTGGGAGCTGAAGTCCACACATCTTCAGGTTGCCAAGGTTGAGAAACACTGGTGTAGACTACCGCTGCTTTTCAGATGTGGGAACTGTCTACTAGAGGGCATAAAGTTGCAGAAATTTGATGTTGGAGAAACGATGACTCCTGCTGATTCATGCGATTCTGCTCATGCTGCAAAGAGGAGTTTAATAATGGGATAACACTTGAGCAAGGGGATCTAGTTCCTGTTCAGGTCCCAGCACCTGAAGGCTTGAAAGAGATCTCCACCAAACTTTCCTTGCGCAAACCCTTCGGATTTGAAAAGAGAGAAATGTACAGGATCGTCCGGCACCCCCACCCCATAACAAAACATCCGACATGCCAACTTACCCAAATCATCTCACTGTTTATAGATCAGACTCACCCCTCCTGCTGTGGCTGGCGAGGCAGCCAAGTTGTTGCTTTCAAATAGGGATGTGTTCTGACAACCTTTTTCTCTCTGCAGCGCCTGGAAGAGATCATGAAACGGACGCGAAAAGCAGACGGAGCTGATGCAAAGGTGATTAGTTTTCCTGATCTCTTCCATCAGAGGAGAGGACCGTGAGCTGCTGTTTCTGGCCTTAGATACCTGCAGAAGAGATTGCAAAGAGCAGCCCTTCTTTTGAATGAGCAGGAGCACAACTCAGCCAGCGCTCTTAAGCATTTCTGCACAGCCCTTACACAAGGCAGCTTCTCTTCTGCTGACTGCTGTGCCCATCTTAGGATAGGGTTGCCTTGGGTCTCTGGCACCCTGCATCTCAGAGGCCTTTGCAGATGCCCAGAAAGAGCGGGCCGTCTCCTTCCTCCCAAGAGAAGATAGCAAGCATGGTCAGACGTTCTCCCAACGTGCTGGTGGAAGGCCTCTCCCTTCTCCCTTAATATATGTCCTCCTCCTTTTTTGCAGAAGAAAGAGGACAAGAAGATGGTGAATGGCAAGGAAGGGAAGCAAGAGGGTGGAATGAGTCCAGGTGAGAATCCCTCCCCACATCCTTGAATACACTCATGATGAGGTCTGATTCATCTCCTCAGCCCCTGTTTTTCTGATTTTTACATGAACTCTGCTTTATAGTTACCTTGGATCCATTGGGAGCTCCAGCTTTTTTGGGGGGGCGGTGTTGTCCTTGGAGTCTGTGGTCTCTAGTGTTCTTAACAGAAGATTTTCTTCCATTTCCAGATGGCAAGAAATACCCTGGAAGTCTTCCCAAGGAAGAAGAACTGCCCGAGATGCAACCCTCAAGTCTGGCCAGTCACAAAGGGCTGGGCCCGGAGGCCATGCAGCACAGGTATATACAGAGTTGGAAGGGCAGCTCATAAAAATTACAGTCTCCATGGCAGACACTTTTCCAGAGCCCCCTTCGTTATTGCTGTGGAAAGGCAACGTCTCCCTCAAGTGGAGCTTCATAGGTCCATGTGGTTTTCTTGTCAACCATAAGGAAGGGGGTTGTTACGACTTTCTTTTCTGGAATGCCATGGTATTTCCTGATGTTCTCCCATCCAAATACTAACCAGATCCAACCCTGCTCAGCTTTTCTCAATCAGCCAAATTCTCTAGCTCCTCCCATTGGTTGGGCCATTGGTCTCAAGCCATGTTTCTCAACCTTGGCACCTTTAAGATGTGTGGACTACAACTCCCAGAATTCCCAAGCCAGCACACTGGCAATTCTGGGAGTTGAGGCCCACACATCTTAAAGTTGCCAAGGTTGAGAAACATAGCTTGAAAGGTAGAGAGTCCAAGATGGGGTCATTGTAGCAAAATTGACCTTGGCAGAAGTGTGTGTGAGCGGTCATTTGATACAGCTGCTGAAAACACGGATGCAGTATTAGCTTCCTGAATAAAAGCATATGGTGGCCAGATCAAGGTTCACATTTGATTCCGTTCCAAGAGTAGCGCAGCTTTCTTAACATCCTTGGAATGTCCTGGGATCAGAGTGGGATAAAGCTTGAGTTGTCCCTTGAGTAAGAGTCTTTGTCATTTCCTTCTCAAGTTCCTTTTCTGTTTCTTCTGCCCTTCAGCATTGTCTCCTCTTTTTCATTCTTATCCCACAGGGAAAAACAAACATCTCATTTTGATAATTCAGGGAATAGCAATCTTTGCAGGCGCTGAGCATTCATACAGGCAAACAAACGGCTCTTGAGGGTTTTAGTGCTCCCACCCCAAGGTCTTGTGAGAATACCCAAACCCGTGCAAGATCTCAGGTGGGAGATGGCTGAATTCAGGATTACAGTGGGCACCTGATGCCTACAAGTGCCACATTACCAATTCTTCTTGGCATACAAGAATCTTGAGTTGTTCTTCACTTCCTTTTTGCCTCTGTTTAAAACTCCCATTGGAGATGGCTAACAACATTAAGACAAGAACTTGCCCAGCACTCTGACATTTGATGGCAACATGGCCAAAGTTCAACAGCACAATTTTATCCCTTGGTTGAATGTGGGGATGGTTGGGTGATTGCCTCCCAGAGACCTCCTTTCTCATGTTCCTTTCTGTCTCTGGAGTGTGTAATTGCTTGCTCCCGGTCCCTCCTGAATGGCTTGTTCCTTCCCCCCCCCCCCCCCCCCTTAGCAGATCGTTCAGACTTTCCCCAAGACCAGCTCAAAGGTCCCTTACAGAGGACAGCATGGGGAGCTGAAACAAAGATTGTTTCATCTCTGTGTTTTGAGATTGACTGGTCAGAACCTGGATACCTGCAAAGATCTGCTCTTCAGGATGGAGATCTCAGTGTGCTCCCTTCTGCCCACCTTTGCCTTCCTTCCCATCTCCTTGAGGGAGGCTTGTAATGCAGTGACTTCACACCCCCACCTCTCTTTCCCCTGCAGCTCCCCCATGAACCCCACCCTGGCCCTGGTGAATGGCCTGCAGTCCAGCAAGCATGAGAATGGCTTCTCCTCTGCCCAGGAGCCGGGCGGACGGGAGCACCCTGCAGGGCCTGGGCTAAGCGTGGCTGATGAGCCCATCCTGCCTTTTGCCAACAAGGAGCCCTTCCTCAACAAGGCCGTGGCCAAGGCTCCACAGATCACAGGTAAGGTAGCCTGTTTTCCAGCCAGGAACATCCTCCCTGGGGTCACAGTTCAGGTGCCCAGCTGGAACAAAAGGATAGACCAGGGTTTCTCAACCTCAGCAGCTTTAAGATGGGTGTACTTCAACTCTCAGAATTCCCCAGCCAGCATGGGAGTTGCTGGCTGGGAGTTGCTGGCATGGGAGTTCAATTCTGGGAGTTGAAGTCCACCCATCTTAAAGCTGCGGAGGTTGAGAAACCCTGGAATAGACTAAAGGTTCACATCCCACAGGGCCCACGGGTTGTGTCTCAGTTGTATCTCACAGGGTGATTCTTTCAAGGAAAATTGGGGAAGGGGTGCTATCTATGTCACTTTGAGTTTCTGGATTCAGTTCTACATATCCAGTGCCTAAGAAGTGCTAACAGGTTGGTGAGTAAATGGGAGCAGATGCAGAAATGGGGAAGGGTCTACTTTGGACTTCATATAAGTCTGCCCTTCATGGCATGGGTGGGCTACCTGCTGCCCCCAAAGGCCTTCATGGTCATGCTGCCGTGATGAAACGCTCTTGGCCTCTTCTTTTGAAGAACTAACAAGTGAAATGCATTAAGCAGGCAGTGCCCTGCTTCAGAATTGAAAGCAAAAGGCAGCTTCCAAGCACATGGCGGTGCTCACCTTTAGGCAGCTCTTTAAAGCAGCTGCATCTTTTCCCAGAGTCTTTGTGGCTGGAAGAAAATCCCCGGAAAAGACGTGTTTCATTTCAGGCATTGTGGGCTCTCTGAAACATTTTTTTCCCAGATCCAAATGTTGTACTGCTAAGCCTTCTCAAATCCCCAAAAGATCCCCAAACAGAGCCCCAAATTCTGCCCCTTAATTAGATGATCTCATTCCAGCCTACCCTCAAAGACATAATAATAACAACCACAAACGTGCCAGTCTGGGCAAAAAGTGATTATTCAGCCCTGTTTTGTACAGGCATGCTTGGGTGGGTGAGACACTATGCTAAACACCTCATTTGGGGCAGATAGACCTCCAAGTCTCTGATTTCTGTCTTCCTTTTCCTCCTGCAGAGGTCCTGTAGATGGAGACACCAAAGGACAGGTGCTACAGTGTGCCAACTCCAAGCTAAATTAGATTGGAAGATGATCGCCCAATGGACTTGAGGGCAACGCAAGGAGCCAGGCTGGGGTGCCCAGCCCCATGGACCCTCTCTTCCTGTCCTCATTTTATGATTAGTATTATTTTTTTAATAAGCACCTTATCAGACTGACCCCATCCCATAGCTTGTCCCTCAACACTATATAACCATAGTTATTTAACTGGCTGGTAACAAAGGATGTGAATAATGTATATAAACTTTGATGTTAGCGTGGGGACTGCACCCATGGTCGCCTTTGTCATCTCCCTGCCCCTTGGGGGGTATTTTTAGGTGAGGGCCAGGTCATGGGAAGGGGAGATCCGACCCCACCTCCAGTCGGGTTTCATAAGCGAGCGCGTGTCAATGTTGCGGGTGAGTGTTTGTTACAGCCAATGGGGAGCGTCTAGGTCTCCGATTTAAACTCTCCCTGTTGGTCTCAGCCAGGAGATGGGCAACGTTGTGTGGCTGTGTGGGTGTGTGTGTGTGCACTGTTAGCGACTCAGCAGCTGCCATCGTCCAACACTGTGCTTTTTGTTCGGGAGGCTGCTGTTTCTCGGTGTGGCGTTGGCTGGGACTGCTGTGCTGAGTGTCACTGTGACAGTATTATGCATCCGAGCAACCTTTTGCGGACAATAAAACGGAGAAATCATGGGGGATCGTCTCTTCTTTGGGGATCCCCTTTGCCAACTGGGTTGAGATGTTCTGCTTACTCTCCTAAGGAGGCCTTCCCTAAACCTGGCCGGTCTTCCAGAGGCGGAAACCTTAATTCCCACAATTCCCCAGCTGACCTGGCTGTTATTAATAGAAGTCACCACATCTGGAAGCTGCCAAGGTAGGAAGAGGTTGGAATGATGAGTCTTGTGCCCTAGCTCAAGCTCGCAAACTGGCACCTGCCAGATGTGTAGGATCCCAGCCAGCACAGGCTTCCATTTAAATAACCATCATTACGAGTGTCCCCAGGGATGAGGGGCATTGAGGTCCAATGCACCTGAAGAGGAACAGGTGAGGGAAGGCTGGTTTAGAAAGGGAGGACATCTCTGGTTTATGGCAAGCCTGCTCCGCACCCTGCTCTGCCAGTTCGCCAGGAAGCACGTGGTTCTCCAGGCATTTCCTTCCCCGTCTGGGTCCTACCTCTGAACAAGGGGGAGGAGATAACCCACTCTCAGATTCCCTGGCTGGGCTGTAGAAATGAGACCTCCAGAGTAAGTCCAAGGAACTGCATTGCAGCTTCCAAAACACATTTCAGACTCCAAAAGGCAGCTGCTGCTGCAAATTAGTGATGCATTTTCACGCCGTTTCAAAACAGAAAACACACACGTGGTTTGACGTATGCCCGAGAACAAAAACCACCCTTCTCAGCCCCCTGCAAGGACCTGGGAAAACCCTGACCACACCCCCACACCAAGTGCCCTGTCTTGCCAACCTTGGCTGATCTTGGAAAAAGGGAAGCCCGATTTGACTTGGTTACTCCATGGATGGAAGACCACCAGAAATCCCTGAACTAAAGACTAGACTGGAAAGTGGAAAGGTATTCCAGAAGAAAGCGATGACAACCCCTTTGGATAGCACTACTGAGAAAACTACAGGGATCTTGTAAAGAGAACTGGTGTGGTGTAGTGGTTAAGGTGCTGCACTGGTATCAGAGAGATCCAGATTCAGGTCCTTCCTCAGCCACAGAAGCTCCAAAAATTTGGAAGACGCTTTATCCGTGTCTGACTCCAATATCACCTCTCATCCCCTGGAAGTGGTCATGCCAACCAAGTTTGGTGGAGTTTTTGCTAGTCCGGAATTAAGATTAGAACAGTGTTTTTCAACCTTGGCAACTAAAAATGTGTGGACCTCAACTCCCAGAACTCCCGAGCCAGCATGCTGCTGGGGAATTTTGGGAGTTGGAGTCCACACATCTTAAAGTTGCCAAGCTTGAGAAACACTGGATTAGAAACAGCACCATTGTCTTGTTTGCATCAGGAACAATAGGCTGGTGGCCTTTAAACTGGTAACAACTTGGTTATCGCTGAAGCTTCAATGGATATTGTTCCTCTCTTTGTGAGATGCTTGGAGTCCCGAGGTAGGAATATTGTAAGTGCATGCAGCTGTTATTCAGAGGGGAAAGAGGGGGAAAGAAATGCTGCAAGGAAAAATGAGATGCAGTTGCTAAATTCACAGGCAATAGTTCATTTGGTTAGGTAATTAGACCATTTTCTGAGAGAATACATATAGCCTGGGTTTGCACAACATGCATCTCAGCTTCCTCTGTTGGTACATTGTTGGTACAAATACGATCTATTTCTAAGGCATAAAAATGAACGTACGAATTAGACCTCCCCAAAAGAAGGATCCATCCAAAGGGGGTGGAACGGCTTAGAAAACGTTTTTTTTTTGGCTTGTCACCAGCAGCAAGAGAAGGGGGGAAAGAA